GGTATCATCACCAATAGTTTGTGTCATTTTATGACCTTCCCTTAGGAAGTATCAGAGTTTTTTTCTTTCAATCTTTAAATGTATTAATTTTTTTTTTTTTTTATTGAAAAACCCCAATATAATGATAGTTTAAACTGGCTAACGGCACACAGTGCAGGCAGTGATAGAAAGTACAGAAAAAAAAAACAAACATTAAAAGACAATAACATAAAATGTAAATAGAAGGCAAAAATGTTTGGACCATGAAGTAAAGATAAACATGAAGAAGGGATGCATAAGGTTGTGTAGAATATGAAAATAAATTAGTATTAGATGAATCGTGAAGAGAGTGTTGGATTACTATGCTGTTGACGGAGACATTTTATAACTGGGTGTATGTATATTTGTCGATGTGAGGTTCAACTTCAATACATTTGCAAAATCAATTGGTCATACTAGAGGTGGCATGAATTTTCTGTGAATATCTTTGCAGTTGGCCTAGCTAGTATACATACAGCATTATGAAGAGTTTGTGTCTCTGCATTATTTGATGTGTTAAACTCATTATTTATGTTTAACATCTAGCCAGACTTCCAAGAAGGAAGGAGTGTTACTACAACAAGAAGCTGCCTTTGATCCAAACTAGCATAGACTTTTTTATTAAAAAAAGTTTGAAGACATTAGTTGAACAAAGTGTTTGTTTGACACTTAATTCAAAGTGTACATTTAAACAGAATTGGGTGCTTTTAATGCAACTGAAACAGACACATTGTAATTAAGTTTGTAACACAATAATTTATCTGGTGCATAGCAAAGATCAATCAAATATAAGCAGATCAATGAATTGAGTTTCAGTTTCATTCAGTTTATTCAGTAGTTTCAATTCAGAACAAAGTTTATGTTACTGCACTTTGAAAAAACAAATCAGTCCAATCAAACCACAAGATTTCAAGTCAAGTCCAAACATTCCACATTGCTTCAAGTTATAAACAATACAACCAAGTCATTTTATTATTCAAATGGTTCCCAAAGTTTTCAAGTTAACCCCACAGATTAGCTTTAGTTACACTTTTGCTCGATCCAATGCTTCTGGACAAGCGGGTATGAATCAGTAGACTGTTGCTTGTAGTGTGACTTTGAAGCAAACACTTGGAATGAGCATTGATGTAGTGAAAACAAAAGGATTACCCTTAAACAGGACGAAACCTGGAGCAAAACCAGGCTCAGTGTGACCTACCTGAGAATGTGTAAATATTTAATTCAGTCAAAGATGGACGAAAATCACTAGGACAAATTGTTTGTATTTCTACTGACCAGATATTTTATTACTTGACTTATTCACCTAAAAGACATTATTCCAGAACTGCTGCTCTTTGTATCAAGGCTGAGAAACCTGACTGCTCCTAATTAACAACTGATTTTTTTCTTCTCATACAGCTGTCATGAAGGTAGTACTGCTCTATAATCTTTGTGATTATAGCAAGAGAGTACAGTTTTACAACTTAGGGTTTCTGTGGCTTGAGTAACTGACTTTTGGATTTTCCCTTGTTTCTTACCAGAAATTTCAGTTCTTTTTATTTAAGATTTTTTCTATTTATTTGTGTGATTTGATATTGTACATCTTACAGTTTAACTCAAATCTTTTGCAAATAATTTGTGAATACCCTTTAAAAATGTTAAACAGCAATATAGTCAGAATACAATATCTGTGATGCAACAACTCAGCAAAGCTTAGCTAAATGCTTTCAGTTGGAAAATGTCAGCATGAGTAATCAAAACTAACATATGTATCTTATATTTGTATCATGTATATGTGAACCTAGCTTTAGTTTTATTTTTTAAATTATTAGTTTCATGAAGCAATCAAAAAAAACAAAAATAAAGTCTGCTCCCCCACCCCCAGACCTCATGTATGTACTTCACACAATTCTCTGTTGCATCTTATCTGTGTGGTCAGAGAAGGCACAGCTAAGAGGAGAGGGGGTTAATGGCAGACCAGAGAAGCAAAGATAAAAAGCTTATCAGTGGAAAAAAAACTGCACAAAGACGTTTCACTTATCAGTTAAAGCTTTTCCACCTCATTACTAACCATCTCACAGGTTGCTTTTCTTGTTGACCAAAGATTTACTCTATTTAAATGGGTTTTGCGGTGTGAAACTGTTTTCCCATACATTCTAGATCTGCCAAAAAAACTTTTTTTTTACTGTAGCTATATGTCCACCCTATAAGTCCTTGCTACCAGCCTGCTACCTTTTCTTCTTTTCAATGAATAGTTAAAGTCACCAGTATTCTCTTTCTAAAAAAGTTGTATCTTATCCAGCAGAGTACAAGTTGTGAGAGGTAGACGCTTTCAAAAAAAAATCTTTGACACTAGAAACATCTGGTGCATACTGCTGCTCATGTCTTGACTAAAAGAGGAGATATAGCCTGTTAAAGGTTAGAAATTGGCAATATGGCATATTTATTAAATCATTGGTATAGTTATTAGTTAATCATTTTGATATAAAAAAGTGAGATATACAAATGCCAGTTTCTCTTCCTTAAAACCAAATTATTCAAAATGTATACACAAGATCACACAGCCTGTTTGTGTGTCTGTGTGAGCATATTTATGAGGGAGTGTATCAGAGACAGAAAGGGCTGTCTGCTGGTCATTGGCTCCATGCCTATCAGTTTGCAGTGATCAGTCTTGCCTTGCTGTCGTCTGTCCGCTTCCAGCTGTCAAAGGGCTTGCTCAGGGCATGCCCACTGATGAGAGGCTGCAGCCATGCTCTAGGATCCATCCAGCACTCTAATAGGTCACGGATGGCTGCACAGGGCTTGCCAATAGCCTTGGACTCGAGAATGACTCCATGAGGGAAGGGAATAAGATAGAGGAAAGAGACAGATTCAATACGATAAATGTATCATCTTGAATTTTTAGAAAAAAACAAAAAATTTACCTTGTATCTATCCATCTCATTATAAATACATTATTTTTAGCTATTGAACCCCAAACTTCAATAATTCCTTTGGCTATTTCCCATGTGTCATCCATGAAGTGCAGTTCTTTCCTCTCTTTTTTACCTGAAAAGGAAAGATTTTTGTTTTTATTGAACAGCCACCTCTTTCAGAACATATTTCTAAAAGAGTTGTCTAAGGAGGTGAAAAGTGGAAGATTTTTCTCTTATTGAGCTTGAAGCTTCTGTGAATAGATTTTTAGTTGAATTTAGGTCTGGAATTTAGCAGGGCAATCATAACTCATAAATATGTATTGACTTAAAATGTTCCTCTGGTTATGTAGTTCAGTTGGTATTGTCCTGCAGGTTGGATTTTCATAAACTTTTAAGAAGTTTAAACTGTATGACCTAACAGGTAAAAGGTTAACAAAGTAAGTATTAAGTTCAAAGACAGAATTTTGCTTTTAAATGCTAAATTGCAATACACATTATTTGCTAAACAACAGTACTGCAGTAACACGTACAAAAAGTAAGCAAAGCTTTCTTGAAATACAAAAAAAATTATATATATATATATATTCCATGCACATTTAAAAGTTCAAACAAAGTGACACAGATTAGTTATCTGCCAAAAGGGAAGAGCAGAGGTTTAGATAGGCAAGGGAGAGTTGGATTTTCTCAATGCCCCTTGAGGCACAAAGGAATAAACAGTATGCTTTTATTTCTTTGAAATTATCACTCCATAATTCGATCACTGAAACTTTAAAAGAAGCACTTTGGATTAGTAATTCAAGTTTGAATGTTTATGAGTATACTCAATTACTTTTTTTCATCAAGTGCAATCCACTGTGCCAGAAGGGATTCATTTCTTTTTATCTTACTAAATGCTTATGAATCATAAACCTTAATTTGAACTATGCACAGTAGTTGACTCCTCTGAAGGATCCATCTAAAATTGAAGTTCTTCACAGCCCTCTTCTTCTTTTTGCAATTAGATAGGAGTGGGTGAAAATATGCTTTGACCTGCAAAAGGTGAACATTTGACTTTGATTTCTAGCTCTTGCCTTTTATCACACACCTCTTTAAAACAAAACATGTTAAATGTCATTAATTGACAAAAATGATCTAAATATATTCCCACAGAGAGCTTAAGACAATGCAGGTTCAGTAGTCATCACACACTGAAGACCTTTACAGTTCAACTTATATGCACACATTGCAATCTTTTTTGGCCTGCTTCCCAAATGTTGAAAGCAAATAACTTGTCAAATGCTGATAAAATTTGATTCAACTGAAATGTTCTTAAGTATTTCATTTCAGTACATTCACCTTATACCATGTAGGATAGAGTTATAACCCATGGTTAATGGCAAGGGAAGGTGCTCCTAATTATCTAGCCATTGTTTATGAGATTATTGTAAAGAAGCAGGTCACTGGCAGAGAAGCTTTCTAACCCCAGGGCTTTTGACATTTTTAGCTAGAGGCAACACAGCAGGTATATGGCCTGCTATAAGATGTTTCTAGTTCAGCAGACAGTCACAGTGTTGGCTGGAAGCAGTGTGAAGCATGCAACATCCAAATGTGAAGACTTGCTTTTTTTTTTTACCATCACAGTTAATTTTTCTGAGGATCAGAGGGTTACAATTCTGATTGACACTGTTGAAAGTCATATAATACCAGAGGAGAACTTAAGGAAATGCTGATTTAACCAAAGGTTTAAATATTGAAACTAAAGTATAACAGAAAAATGCTTTATATGCATAACTTTGACTAAACACAAACTCTACTTTGAATAATGATGAATAAACATACCTGCTTTTTGAACAAGTAAAGCACAGAAATAATATCCTCCGTATCTTGTTAAAAAGAATTGGCCTTGGTATAAAAAGTATCTCCCTGGAATTAAGTGCTGAATGTTCCAGCAAAATTGTTTAGCATTTAAGGGATGTGTTTAAACTTAGTTACACATAGGTATATTATATGCCTATGTAATAAAGACCAAAAAGATTTTATATTAATAAAATGTTTTTTTATACACAAAGCATTAACCCTAATAGAGTTTTTCATTTTGTGCATTAACAGAATTGCGATGAGCAAACATAAAAGGCCAGGTCTCCATTTTCTGACATTTCCATGGAACAATCGGAAAACCATAAGGTGACAACTGGGACAGTTACTTGACAGAGCCTGACTGTCCTGCAATGAATCAAGGTACAACGGCAAGTTTGCTTGGTTGAGGAAATAAATTAATCAATAGCAGCTCTAAGTTAAATCAAGCCTCCCCATTTATCTATATGATATGGCGTTTTTTTTTTTTCAAATACCCACTGCCCTGCATGTTTAAGTGTTCCCTTGTCTCCACAAACCTGACTTAATGAACAGGTGATAAACAGGCCACTGCAGTCCTCGGTGGCTGCGGGGGAGTAATGCAATAATCTGCTGAAGCAGAAACTCATCTAATAAAGGAAAAGTAAACAACATGTTTAAAAACCAATGGCCGGCCCTAATGGAAAATTCCTTTGAAATATTTAGTTAAATAAGTGGCAAAATTATCGCATAACATTTTCAATTCCAGCTTTAATTTCAGGTATGATTTTAAAAATTACACAAACATTCGTTTTGATACTGTAAAAACAAGCATTTATTTTACAGATACTTTTCTATTGTTGTGAACTTTATATAAACAAACAAAAAAAAAACTCTACAGTATATGTAAAGATATCATGCGAGATCAAATAAATCATTTTAACTTTTGCTTACAAGAAAATTGTTTTATACAAGATCTTTTTTTCTCTCTGAACTTTACACTGTTTTTTACTGAAAATGTCATCAGATCAACAGCCACCTATGGTAGGAAATTCTGAATAGGGACTGCTTTGACTTGCAGTGAGTCGAGTAATCTCCTAGTTAAAGATTAAACTCCAAAAGCGTGTGTTGAATATTAAGGGAGTATGTGAGAGCTTTGCAAATCAATTTCTGTTCGATGTCCATTTCCCTTTTAAACCTTGCATTAGAAGCTTCATTCCCAAAGGATCATGGGTGTATAAGCACAGTATTGAAAACCTTTAGGATTATGGTTGTCCTGCATCATATTATCTGGCAATCCTCTGTAGGGTTAAGCTTTTCACCCTGTTCAGCTTTGTCTCACTCTCAAAGTTATATTCTTTAAAATCTTTTACACAGAATTCTTTAACAAAAATGTATGTTCAGGTAAATCTAGAAATCAAAGCTAAATGTGATAAAAAAAAAGGTCAGCAGTTTTCATTTAATTCAGAAAGTTACGGTATACTCATACATACAGGGGAATATTTCAAGCCCTTATTTCTTGTTATCTGATTATTATAGCATACAGATAATGGAAAATGTATTGTTTTAGAACATATAAAGTAAAAAAGAAATGTAAAAGAACTGGGTGTAAAATACTTTTGTTAGTTTAAAAATAATTGAATGGCTTAGCTACAATATAATATTAGAACTGCTGTCACTGTATTCAGTGCCTAGATCTCTCAGATCTTCTGGCTCTAATCTACTTTGCATACCTTCAACTAAAACCAGACATGATGAAGCAGCCTTTAGTTCTTATGCTCTACAAATCTGGAATCAACTTGTAGGATGCTTTACAGTTAAAGTCCTGAAACCCTCGTTTCTTTGCTTTAAATCGAGAACAAAATCACATTTGTTTAGTGGCCCTTAAATGTGCTATATAAGTGTTATTAGTTAGGTTTCCAGTCTAACTTTTGTTAAATTTTCTTATTTTATCTTGGTTTTTTTTTTATTTTGTCAGTCATCTTTTTCTTTTTTCTTATAAAATCTACTTAATATAATTTCACTTTTATTCTATTTCTCTGTTTTGCCTCTACAACATACTTTTCTTTTATTTAATTTCTCATGTACAGCACTTTGAATTGTCTTGCCACTGAAATGTGTTATACAAATTATTTTTGCCTTGCCTTTAAAAAGGTGATTTATATGGAAAAAAAAAACAAACAGGACTTGAAACACAAATAATTAGACAAACTCAGCAACTAACCTCTTCTGAATTTAGGATGATATTCGGATCATGAATGTTGGTTCCTCAAAGATGGAGGTGTCACTGGAGGTTCCCAAATGAGAACTGTTCCACAATATAGTCAGAAGTTTCTGAGGGAGAACTCCTGGGAAGTTTTAACAAGGGTTTCAAAGCAATGCTGCAGAGGCAAAATCCGAACGTAATAACCAGAAGGGAGATCCATAAACAGTAACAAGGAAATCGGGCCATATATATATATATATATATATATATATATATATATATATATATATATATATATATATATATATATATATATATATATATATATATATATATATATATATATATATATATATATATATATTCTGTCATGTGCTGTATATTAGTTATGCACAGCACCCTTAGGGTAAGTTGAAATATTGGTTATCTGCTTACTTTTCTTTTATCTGCAGCATACATGTTGTTTGTCTAATACTTTTTTTGCTCACCACAATTCTGCTCAAACTATCGTGGCAGACATGGCAAAGATATACATTTTACATATAACTTTAAGAGTAGAAATTGTGCTGCAGTAAGGAGTTGAGGGTTGAGGGGTCTGAGCTGCTAAAGGTTCTTGTGAATTGTTTGCTCTGGAGACTGGACAGCCTTACAGCAGTTGGTTTCCAATACCACGGACATTGCCTTGACCAACAGTCTGAGAAGGAATTATTTCCGGAAGCTCCGAGCTTACTTGCTGGGCAGAGGGAGAGTGAGATTAGAATTGCCTACAGAAATACAATAGGTTAAACCACCTGCAGGCCTGAGGAGCTTTTCTTCAGCTTGTGTTGCAATTTTCCCTTTCTATGGGTTGTGAGACCAAAGACATACTAAATGGTTTTTTTTCTTCTTTTTTTGACATTCAACTGTTGTTCTAAACCTTTCAAAAACACCATTAATCACAGTTACACACAACACCACCATCTGTTCTGTTTTCTCTAGTTTTCCATGAAGCCCTTTTCATTTTGTTTCTTTTTGTTCTAAATTGTACTTTGCCTTTACTCCTTTAGTAAAGATAAAGTACTCTCCTTTAGATAGCCGTCTCTGACATCAGGTCTTTAATAGTTTAGCTTTGCATGTTTGCCTTAATGTCTGTGCATGTTAAAACATCAACAAAGTATCTACCACCCTTTTGTGTTATCTTGTGCTTATCTGAAGTATTGGGGGTGTTGCGGCAATGAATAGAATTAATTGATTAATACTTTCCTCTAATTAGTGTTCCCTCATCCATTTAATCATCTGGCTTAGGTGAAGACTACTTTGACTCAGATTAAAAGCAGATGAACAGTTTTGGTTCAAAGTGCAATCAAAAAAACAAAAAGACCTCTCACATTTACTTTACTTTAGCTTTTCTCTAACCATGGCTGTTTTGCACAACGCTTAAACTATTTAATGTAACTCTCATTAGAACAGTTTACTACAAAAACCTGAATTCTTGAATCTGTGTGATTCAGTGACTTGAGAGCATACAAGTCAAAGGAAAGTAACATGATTAAATATTTTGTCCTTTGTTGATTATAGATACAGTTAGACAGTGTATTGGAAACTATAGTAAATCCATGTGCATAAAAGTGAATTTAAATATTTGAGAGAAAGTAATGCATCTGACTAATTTAATTACGTGAAATGTATGTTTTATGTAGGTTTTATTGCATTCTCTATAATGTATTTAAAACATTTTTTTAAATTTATTTCAGTCATTTTGGCTTACAGCCTGCAGTGGTGGTAGGGGAATACTTTTAAGGGTCGAGAGACCTCACTGAAAATGTCCATGCTCTCTTCCCTACCCCAGAAGTGCGGAAGATTATTGATTCATATTTTGTGGTTCCTTGCTTATCTAATAAAAAGTCTGATTAAATCATGGTTTTAATGCATGCTTCAATTTCTCTCATGTCAAACAAACTGGCGCTCAATCTTTACTACATAATTTCTAAAATAACATATCATTAGATCCTGCAGCTATTTTATTGTGCAATTTGACTTGGTTACAAACTGTGCATTACAGGAGCAGCTTGAGTAGCACTATCTGCAAGCAACAGGAAAGTGTGAACAAAATGAATCGCTTTGTTTGTCAAGTCCACCATCAACTGACAGTGAATTTACAAAACAAATTAAGCCTAAAAATATATTTCTGAGACCTGATAATTCAGTCAACACCGGGAATTATCTTTAGTAAATAGTTTGATAAAAGTGTTGCTGGAACAGTAACCAACTGGAGCTTGAGTACTGTAACTGTGAGGGATAGAGCAGGGTTAGTGTTAAAGAACAACTCAGTGGTGTTGAACGTGCACTGAATGAAAGACACTAACCTTCTCAGATGTCGGGAGGTAACGCTTTTGTTCTAATGATAGATCCAGCACTTACATTTGGATGATTCTGATCTTTAATTGACTGATCCAAATTCAGACAATGCTAGACAGAGCAAAGGCTAGCAGAAAGCCCGAGTCAATTTGGGTGTCATGCTTTCAAGAATCTGGTGGTCAGCCTCTGGGAGATCCAGAAATATACAGTGCTCGTCCCAGCAACTTGAGCTGCCTCAGGTGTAACCTCTCAGACCTTGATAACTGGTGGGAGCATTGAGTGATATTATGGGACTGCATGCACTAGCTTTGCAGGCAGTAACAGGCACTTATCATTACAATTTTAACCCACAAAGCACCTCTATTGTGCAGCTATCGAGCAGGAGACAACTGGAGACAAGAACAATTTCAGAGCATCTGCAGAGCCAGTGGGGAGGCTGGTAAATGTTGACGTGCACAGGATCTAGTGAAAGTAGAAGACCCCAAAGTGAAGTTAGGAATGAAACCTGAATGCTGACAACAGTGCAGGCTGATTTTTTAGTTACAGCTAGTCACTCATATTCACCCTATAAGAAATGTGATGGAGATTTTAGCATTTTGGTCCTCATTATCAGGAACAGAGAGTGGAAGATCTTTAATTTCAGCTACAGTTAATAGTAAAGGCTGTGGGTATGAAGATTGCAGAAACCTACTGTGGGAGCTTCTAGTTGGATTTGAATGAAGATTTGAAAAATATCTAGTGATTGGTTTAATGTAAACCAAACCCTTTGAAGTACCTAAAAACATTAAAAGGTCCTTTAGATTACCACATTGCTTCTCATTTTTGCAGCCAGTCTTATTCTACATGTTGTTTTGATTAATAAACTTATATGATACATCTAGCTGTGCTACTTAGATAAAGTAAATGTTAAAGTAGGCTGTCTTTGATATCTGTGTCTGCCCTTTTCTGAACTTTTTGGTTCTGTTTAAGTTTTCTTTTTGAGTTTTCAGTTACACTTTGATTGATGACGTTCTGTGTTTTCTTGGACAGACAAGTTTCTTTTCATTAATGCAGTCGCCCTAAATAAAACCTATTCTCTCCAGATAACGTTTAGGCAGTAATACATGCCTGCTTAAAAGTTACTAATAGAAGTGTCAATGTTCTTCCTGCTCTGTGATCAGATCATATCAGAGCGATATGTAGATCAATGAATCTGTCTGGTAGCCATTTACAGAACAGGAAGGCCACAGTATTTAAATTAGAGATAGCTAAGTTTCTAGGACAATATAGTTGCAATTTAAAAAAAAAGTCCAAAAACAGCGGATGAAAATAAAGTTACTAATAGTCTGTTTTCATTTCCATTTTGTGTTATTCTAGTTGTTTTTTGGTTATTAGTTTTGAGCATTTATGTATTTCTTGTTTACTCTGTGTTGCCCACTTGTGCCAATTTCCTTTTCCCTAGCTCCCGTCACGATGCTTCTGGCCACACCTGCTCCCAATCAGTTGCTTACTGCATTCATTGTACTGTTTGTCATGTATACTACTCCTCTAGATTTTGGTTCCTGAGTTTGTTGTTGATCAGTTCTCGATTATGGCTTCTGTATTTGTACATCTTCATTAAAATGTTCAAGAAATCATCTCTGCCTGTCCCTCTCTGTATCGGGGTCCTCAACAAGTATCCACTACTCCTGACACATTCGCGATCTTCTATTTCATCACAAATGAGACCCCTTTATTCCACACTGTTTCTGTACTCTCATCGCATTATAGACAGTCCCCATCTGTGCACAGCTCTACTATGTTTTTTACTTATAATGGGGGAGAAATGTATACCTTTCTAAAACACAGATGAGCTAGACAGTAGGACATACACTGGGAAAGTATGAATTTAAAATAAAAGGGGGCTATCTGGATACATGTACAGATATTTATGTCCATATAATGACAGCTCTTTTCCTCTGTCTTACAGGTTGCTTTCCTGCCTTGGGATCACTGATAGAGACATTGTCATGCAGAAAATAATTATATAGGACCTTTAAAGAATGAGCTCCTCAAACCAGTGGATTGTTCTGAAGGTCAAAGCCATCCAAGATCAAGCCCAATTGCCAACAGTGAAATCAGCTGGGCTTTTCAGAGTTCAAGATTTTTGCTTCTGCAAGTAAAACCAGTTGGAGTTGTTCAAGGAATTGAATTGCAAAAAGGTTTCCTCTTCAAAATAAATTTAGTCGAGGAGTTTTTCCCAGACCTTTAAACTACCATTGCAGTATCAAACCCTTGCATTGTGCTGAATGGATTTAAAATGGCTGTAGGTGCTGTTGGAGACAGGAAAATAAAGAATGGATGGAAAGGTTCAGATGTATTCTTCAATAGCAAATTGTTCCTTGCCCTTACCACTTTGTTTCCCCATAGTCTCCCTACGGACCAGTGAGCCACTCTGGTCAAATGTTTTGTTTCTGACAGCCTCAAGTATTTTAAGGGTATTTCTCTATCTCTTTTTTACTGATTCCATTTTAAAGAAATACAAGAATCTCAGTAACAGAGAGCAAATACTCTAAAGAATCAACTTGACTGTCAATATGGTCATACAAACTTACTTTCACTGGATGCTATAAATCTATTATGCCCTACGACCTGCCCTGCATTCAGCAGACAACTTTAGATTGATTTCTGATCCCATTGATAAGCTTTCAAGTTCTTTCACTGAGACATTTTGACTTTACCTGGTGGACTTCAACAAGTGAAAACCTGTGTGTCTACATCTTTGATTTTTCATGTAGACACAAGACAGATTTTTTTTTTTTTTTTTCCAACAACATGGTTCCTTTTTGGACAGCAGGACCGTGGACACTATTGGCAGCATTAGGTCTTTTGAGCTGCTTTTGTTCTGTGTTGGCTGAGGCCTCAAGGACTAGTCCCACAATCTCAACAGCGAGTAAACACCAAGAAGGACCCTCATCACTTGAAAGAGTAAAGAGAGGATGGGTGTGGAACCAGTTTTTTGTTGTGGAGGAGTACACAGGCACAGAGCCTCTATATGTCGGAAAGGTAAGACACTCCTTTCACAACCAAGGTCTTTCAATATGATCATATATGATAATTGTGTTTTACTCTGTTAAAAAAAATTATGCTAAAACAAAACATGCATTTTCATGAGAACACACACAAAAAAAATAGATTTTTTTGTTTTGTCTTGTTAGAGCAGCTGATGAGTCTATTGCCCTTTTGACAAACCATACAGTAATAAAGTTCCTTGCTGATGGGGTTTGTGTTATTTGAAAATGTATTCTTAATGAAAGTCTGTGCCAAAAACGAGTTTTTGGCATGAAATGGAAAATTGAGTCCATATAAAAAATAATTAATTTGGTACAGTACAGTAAGTAAGTAAGTATAGGATTAAATAAAAAAAAAAGATAAATGCCTTTTTAAGTATGTTGGGTAGTAAAATTACGTAGTTTACTGTATGATCCTGATGCATCTACCTTAAATACATTTTAGTTTGTGATATTTTGTTATTATATCAACCTTAAATCAAGCATCTAGTTTAACCTAAAATGATTCATATATTTTCATCACACCACAAATGTGGTTACTAATGTGATATACAATATGCATGTCTTGAAACAGGAAAAAAAGCAAAAGGGGCATTTATAAAAAAAAAAAAGAAGTATCTTAATTGCGTTAAATTCATTTAAAAAATGCCAAGTTATTAATACCGATTAATACCTACCCAGTAATGAACGAAAAATATACTGGAATATCAGCAACCAATCCCTTCTAAAAATTGCTTGATTAGTAATTTTATAGTTTACCTTTCTTGCAACTGTTGGATGCACCAGAAATATACCTTCTGCCTTTGAGAAGAAATATGTAGATGCAATTAGAAGATTAATTTAAACCTAAATTCACAGGGGGCATGAAATACCACTGAATCCAACTGCTTTCCTTCTTTATTTTGATAGTAGGTATATAAAACAGGCTTACAAATAAAACAGATGTTATGGCAGTTTATAGGTGTGTTGTGCTTAAAATTATATTTATTTTTAAGCCCACCTGGTATGAAATCACCTCTTCAGAATTTACATTTACAATTGTGGGATAAAAATAATTGGTTTTATGTCAAAATCCTTGACACTATTAAATTAAGACACCTACATGATTTAAAAAGAAATCTTATCTAAATTTTACACAGAACTGAAGCTGTTCTTTTACTAATTTAGTTAAAACTTCATGTTTAATAGTACATTTTAAATAAACCTAAATTATTCTGTCAACTCCCATAAAAACATAAGAAATTAGGACTTGAAGCCAATATCATTATTGAATTTAAGGGTAAATGTATGAGGAACATGATTACTGTTGAATCCAAGAAGGTGTCTTTGAGAAATTATACATATATGAATAAAATTGCAAATTTGAAATAAACAATTTAAATCATCTATTCACATTTAAATGCTGGATCTAACTTAGACTTTCAAGGTTATATCCTGTCAAGTCTGACAAGTATGCAATCCAGATACAACAAAAATGACTCCAGCAACATGATGCAGTTATAACTGTGTTGTACCAGGCATCCTTTCTAAAGGTTCAAAATATGTCAGGTTAAAATTTAGGAAGATGTTAATACAATTGAAGTCAAAAAATAAAAAATGACTTGGATCATTATTTCTTAAAGAGTGGTTCTCTAAGGTGCTGCTTCTTACTCTTACCCTTAGGATGTATCATTATTCTCCATTGTTAAAGTCCAGTAAATCTGAAGACATGCTCTTTAAAATAATCTTAGTTTCCATAATGAATCACATTGCTCAAGGTATGTAGATTTTGCACCTTCGTCATTGTTACTTTCTATCCTCACTCTTCATGAAATAGATGAGAGTTTAATTACTCTGTAAAGTAAGCAGCCACATTTATGCAAATATTATAAACTGTTTTTTCATCTCGAAAACAGAAAAGTGAACAAAGTTGTTGTCAAACATACTCGCATGATGTTAAGTATTGTTCTTGGTAGAATCCTTGAAAAGAATCTGGGTTTTTGGTGGGATTAATATTAAAAATGTGGAATGAACAAACAAATGCCTCAAATCCTCTGTAATGCAAAAAGTGGTAAGTTAAACAAAAACAGACAATATTTGTAAGTGAATAAAAGAAAAAAAACAATCAAGAAGCTGATCATAAATTTACACAAAGTTTACGAGCAGCTGCAGCTCTTTATTTTTTCTCCTGCATATATCGAGTTATTTCCACATATTCCACCAAGTTACTTAGCTTTTTTCAAATCAGATTTTTTATCAGATCAGAGGAGTTTTTTTTATTTATTTTTTCATTTCAAGATTTAAGAAAATTATTCAAGATAACTTTCACTTAAATATTTCGGTCTTCATGTTTTTAGTACAAATTCAAAAACACCAAACACACCCATTTATAAAGGTATGCAGACAGTAGAGCTAATATGTTAGAATTTGGTTTGCTTCCAAAGCTTCAAACATTCATATTTCTTCTTACATTAGATAGGATGGATTAATTATCAACAATAGGTTTAAACTGATCCTAATTATGTGCCTTCAAAAGCTTCCTATATAACCTTACAAGTTGACAATTGACTTTATGCAAAATGTGTAATCCAGTTCTTTTAAGTGGTGTATTAGCTGTACAATGAAGTACAACCTTTCAAAGAAACTTCCCTTTCTATATTTAAAAAAAAATGTTTTCTTTCTTTGCAAATAATTTTCTGGTTTGGACTAAGACTTACCCAGATAGAGATGGAGATGAAAGAAAAGCTTGAGTCTTACTGCATAAAAGTGAGAGTTTTTTTTACCCTGTTAACAGTCAGCAAGCTCCATGCTGTTTAGTATTTCTGTTTACAACATTGTTTTACCATGAACTCCGTCGCCTCACCCACCCAACCATTCATCTATTTCCTACACCAGCCTTATCCTTGCAGGGGGGTTGGGGTCTATCCCCAATGGTACATCTTGAGCCTATCCATCACACAGCTCACTTGCTTCAAAGAGCTTATATTCAATTAATAACTTCATAGAAAATCCATCCACCCATCCACCCATCCATCCATCCATCCATCCATCCATCCATCCATCCATTTTCTATACCTGCTTCTTCCATATAAGATTAGAGGAGGGCTGGTGCGAGAGGTTACATCGTGAACAGGTCACTAGTCCATCAGCGTAACGCAGGACAAACAACCTTGCACACTCCTACTCATATCTATAGGGGTTAATTTGGAGACACAAATTATCGTGGTAAACAATGGTGAACAAAAAACCTGCTACTTTTAAAGAAACATAGTATTTTTTTAATTAATACTCTTCTTTTTATGTTATTTTTTTAAATCAAGGCATTTCAGGGAATTTCTGATTAAAAATTATTAGACTTTAGACTCAACTTTATTTATCCCTTGGGATTAATCCCTCAAGGAAATTCTGGTTCCAGTAGCTTATATAGAGTAGAAAGGGCAGAGTTAAAGCAAGATGTCATTAAAGATAAAAATACAACACACAATATAAAAAGAGTGTATATAGTACAAAAAAACATAAAAACACTGTAGTTGACTTGAATTATTGCAATTGCACTGCAGAGAAGTACTGACCTTATTTAAAAGTAAAAGAATAACAAAGGCTACACAGTAGTTGGCATGCGTTATTGCACGGCGAAAGAGAAGATTATTGCACTTGAGCAACAATTACTAACGTTTTGCACAAGATGTCCAAGGAGGGAGGTGCTGACCTTTGTCCCTCTTCCTATCACCTCCTCCTTCAACCAAGAGAGGAGTTGTAAAGCCTGATGGCTTGAGGATCAAAGGAGTATAGCAGTTTGTCGGTCCTGCATTCGGGGAGGAGCAATCTCCCACTGATCAGGCTCCTCTGCGGCTGACATTGTGGCTGTGGCTGACATTGTTCATAATGTCCAGCAGTTTGTTAAGTGTCCTTGTTTCTGCCATCATCCCCAGAGTCCAGCTTCTTGCCAATCACAGAGCCAACTCGCCTCCCCAGTTTGTCCAGTCTGGATGTGTACTTCTTAGATGTGTTGCTTGCCCAGCACACCACGGTGTAGAAGAGGACACGGGCGCTGACACTGGCAACCGCAGACTATTGTTTTTTCATCAAAAGAAATGTTTTATTATCCTTAGACCTGCTTGCTATGAATTTATAACACCTCTTTTCAAAGACTGTTTTGAAAATACTCAACCTTTCCTTAATTTGCAGGTTTCCAGCTAGTCTACAGCTATTCAATGTCGAGTGTAGGTAAGGAAAAAGGAAGAAAAAGTAAAAAAAAAACTGGTCTCGTATGACTTAATGACAAAAACTAAAGCAAATAAAAAAAGAAAGCTATGTTTTCTAAACACTATGGAGGTTATAAACTTATTAAAGACCAAACTCTAAGAATCAGGCTTCCAGCTGAATATAATTCCTCTTTAACTTAGTGGAGGAAAATATTTTTGAATGCCCAAACAGAAAAAAAAAAATGTCTTCTTTCTGCTTCCTGTTTATCACATTTCTGGAAAGAGAAGACTTAGGTGATTTCTATCTAGGGGTGAGGCCTGCTTTGTCTTTGACTCACCATGTAAATCAAGTTGTTATAGAATGAGTAAGGGGGCATTTCTTAAACCTTTCATTATCTGCTGACACATTTTGTGACAATAAGCATGCATTTTTTTTGACTTACAGCTGTTCTATCACTCTAAAGTGGTATTTTATATTATTTCTTGCCAACACAGTATTGGTCCTCTCTTAATTGGGCTTACAGCCAACAGAAACAACACCCTCTATGAAGGTGTTTCTTAACAGATTAGTCTTACAGTTACAACAGACCCGACAATGCTCTTTTCTTGTGAAAAATGCCTTCGATCCATAAATGTAGTCACTTTATATTTCTCTCTGATTTAATAACTTTCAATCTTTTTAGTTTGATTAGTACTGTACATTTAAGAATATTTTTCAGTTTGTTTGCCTTCTTCATTCACATCCAATTCATCAGCTGCTTCTCAAATAAATCTCATGAGCTAATGAGACTGGACAGTGTGTGCGATTCAA